CATGCCAATATGCACATGCATGGTGAGAGGAGACAGCAGTGGAATATGGAAACTTTCCCGGCAATCCGACCCGTCAGGGGACAATTCGACAGCATCAATTTCAGATTCAAACTCTCGCAATCACCACAGGTCGGTAAATGTGCAGCGACAATGAACACCTAAGATTAGCAGAACCAATGGAGGGAGGGAGGGATGGGAGGGGAGGGAGGGAGAGGGAGGGAGGAAGGGAGGGGGAGGGGAGAGGGAGGGAGGGGAAGGAAGAGGGAGGGAGGAGGGAGAGGGAGGGAGGAGGGAGGGGGAGATAGAAAGAAAGAAAGTGTGTGTGTGTGAGAGTGTGTGTGTGAGAGAGAGAGAGAGAGAGAGAGAGAGAGAGAGAGAGAGAGAGAGAGAGAGAGAGAGAGAGAGAGAGAGAGAGAGAGAGAGAGAGAGAGAGAGAGAGAGAGAGAGAGAGAGAGAGAGAGAGAGAGAGAGAGAGAGAGAGAGAGAGAGAGAGAGAGAGAGAGAGAGAGAGAGAGAGAGAGAGAGAGAGAGAGAGAGAGAGAGAGAGAGAGAGAGAGAGAGAGAGAGAGAGAGAGAGAGAGAGAGAGAGAGAGAGAGAGAGAGAGAGAGAGAGTGAGAGAGAGGGGCAGAAAGAGGAGAGAGACAGGAAGGGAGACAAACAGAGATAGACAGACAGAGACACAGAGAGAGAGAGAGGCAGGGAGAGCCGATGCAGCTTGGCATACTTACAAACAGAATGCGATCGCCCATCTTGACGCCATGCTCCATGACCCAGTCTGGCGCTGATTTGATGAACGTCCCACAGCCACGTCCACCGACCAGCCCCCATTCTTCAACGTCCAGGCCAAAGCTTGTGTCACCCGTGCGTGGGTAGTGTAGGGCAATCTCCCTGCGGCTGTGGGCACAGGAAGACACGAATGTCACAACAAAACGTCATGAGAATGGATATGTTATCATGTGCTGCCCTACTGATGGGCCAGGCGCAAACATTTGGCAGAACATAAATTTGAATCGCAGTAAAGAGACCGTTCTTCGAGTCGAGGATTGAAGTTTCATAATTGTGTAAGTGGCTGTGTTGGAGTTTGCGGACAATAAGAAAAGTTTGCCATGCCCCACCATCGCCCTCTCTGTCGACCCAACATGTTACACCGACAACAAGACAACTCTAATTTTAGAACTGCTCCCAGTGGTCCGACAGACAAGTGGATCAATTGCACACACCCGCATGCATACACGCACACACATAACGCATACACACACACATACAAACACCCGAACACATGCACCCACGCACAGACACGCACTGGCATATCGAAGATACGGGACCATCATGAGCCTGACGCGGAGCCCCCCCCCCCCCCCCCCCCCTTTCCTTCAATGCTACTGTAGCATACACAGCACTAGTTCAACGGTATGTAGTATTATTTCTACTCCACTAGTGTATACAAAGCACTAGTTCAACGGTGTGTTGTAGTATGTCTACTCCACTGGTGTACACAAAGCACTAGTTCAAAGGTGTTTAGTAATACTTCTACTCCACTGGTGTACACAAAGCACTAGTTCAAAGGTGTTTAGTAATATTTCTACTCCACTGGTGTCCACAAAGCACTAGTTCAACGGTGTGTTGTGATATGTCTACTCCACTGGTGTATACAAAGCACTAGTTCAACGGCGTGTAGTAATATTTCTACTCCCCTGGTGTAGCACTAACAAAACGACGGCCCGCCACACTTACCTCCCGTGCGCGTGGCCAGCTCCGATGCGTTTCAGCTGAGCGTCGGTCAGTCTGAGCGGCCTGTCTATCTTGGTGCAGCCTTTCGATTTGGGATGCGCCATCACGTCGGAGGACTGGCTCATGGCCGACCTTGACGACGAGCTCTTGCAGAACATTCCGGGCAGGATGAGGTTTACTGTGTTGGATGCCTGTGTTACGCTGATCGTCGGCACCTGTGGTTCACTGCGGCGCCGTTGCGAGCTGATCGACTGCGTGCTGAGGTGCGGGATGGACGCCGAGCGAAAGCGATCGGTCATGCGCTTGTTGCCGTCGACCTGGTAGCTCGGCGCGCGCAGCTCGTCCACTTGCAGCCGCACGGTGCGGAGCGGGCCTTTGGCGCTGGTGCCACCACCGCAGCCGCTGCGTGTCGGCTCCGTGACCGTGATGGCGGGCAGCACTACCGAGTCGCTGCCGTCGTCATTGTCATCGTCGTCGCCCTCGTCGGACAGCTCGGCGGGCAGATTCTCCGAGGAGAGCTGGGCGCCCACTTCGGTCTTGTGGCGCACGGCCGTGCAGCTGGAGCTGGACACGGCGCACATGCCGGCACTGGAGTCTGGGCGGTTCATCGCCGCGCTCGTCACCACGGTAACAGCGTCGTTGGGCGACACGGGAACCGGCGGCAGGGTGGGAGCGACGCTGGCCAGGCGCTTGGCGTACGGCGTCATCGGGGACGCGACGGTGGACACCGGGGAGTTCATCAGAGGACCGCTGCGACCGGCGGTGCCGGGCTGCGAGCACGAGCCGCACTCGGACAGGACCAGGCGACGGCGCACGCTGACGTTCAGCGCCGAGGAGCGTTCCGAGTCGGACAGGATGCGCTTGAAGTCCGTCTGCGTGGCGCACACGTCACCGTTCACCTAATTGCACAACGCAACACCAGCAGCAAACCAGAGCATTGCATTACCCGGGAGCAGGCACGGCTTGAGAAGCATAGCAGTACTGGTCTACCTGTACATATCTGCTGGGGTTTTTTTCTTTCATTTTTTACTATTGACACAGCCCTACTGGAAACAGATGGAGTCAGTCTGTGCATATCCCGGGGCACTATTATCGACTATGCAAGCAATTACAGTAAAAACCTGTCAAGGCGACCACTCGGATAAGGCGACCACCTGTCCTGGAAGACTACTGAAACCAGGAGCAAGGAATGCTATGACCACCTGGTAACAAAGACCAGGTTTTGAAGGTCCCTTGAGCGGTCATCTTAGATAGGTTTCGCTGTACTAGCAGGGCCCGTCAACTGTCACAAACATTTTCCAAACTTTTTCCAAACGTTTTCCAAAACTGTCCAGTTTCCGTGCGTGGCTGCTTCGTATTACATGCAAACGAAGTGAAGGACATCCCCGCTATCATAAAAAGAAAGGTGTGGAAGACATTTTCGTGCTAATGACAGCAGCTGAACACCAATGCTACGCACGCAAAAGAAGCATGTCAAGGCGCTATAGCTCTTTCCGGGAAGTGACAACGGCTGCGATTACCCCGCTCAGAGCTGTGTCGCCTGCATACAAACCAGCGTTATTTCTCTCTCCTTCATGCTTCCATGTGCAACATAAAGGATAGATTGGCGCTGTTAGCCCTTCCGCTAAATTGTACTGCGCACATTTACACATACACCCAAAGTGTGCTGTACTTGCTCACAGTCATAAACTGGCCACATCGGTCTCCCCTGGGGAGAAGGAAGAGAGACTCAGAAGACATCTAGGAAAGCTTACTCAATTGCGGCTACTGAACCGCTCAACGGCTGCCAGCCCCCAAACCCGCAACCCACGGGTGGACTTGAAAATGTGATTCCACATACCAGTATGGGCTCACCACAGCGCAGTAAGTGAGTGAGGATACGGTGCACATACCCATACATACAATAGCCCTCCAGGAGCACGGCTATTGAGTATGACAGAGGACATACCTCTCTAACTTCATCACCGACCAGCAGCTGTCCATTGTCCTTGCTGGAATTGTTGGTGATCTCCTTGATCACCAGGGCACGGTCTGCTACGATACCTCCACCAAGATCTGCACAACAACAACAACAACAACGTACACACAAACAGATAGGACCTTGGCTGAATGCACGTGCACAAACATACACACGTACACACACGTACATGTACACACGTACAGACACAAACATACACACATATGCACATACGTGCACACACACACACACGTACACACACAGAGAACATTACACACACCTGCATCTGGTGGTAGTTGAATGTCCAGATCAACCTCCTTCAGAAACATCACCGGCCTTTCATTGCTGATATTCACCGTCTGCACAAAAATCACACCAGAAAACGTTGTCAGCAAAATCCGCCAGCGATCTGTTGAGATGACCCCAACAGATGATCCTCTTATCTCCGGTCATATGAGTGGAAATGACACAGTTCAGTCCAGGCCGAGGTGGTCATCTAGGACCATGCGTTACCTGCATCAGCGTGGTCAACGTCACAAGTATTTTTTACTCAACACGGGTACATGAACAGTGAGCCCTGTCCAGGGCGACGGCTCGAGGGACCTTCAAAACGTGGTCTCTGTTACCAGGGGGTCTCTCTTACCAGGTGGTCTCTGTTACCAGGTGGTCTCTGTCACCAGGTGGTCTCTGTCACCAGGTGGTCTCTGTTACCAGGTGGTCTCTGTTACCAGGGGGTCTTTGTCACCAGGTGGTCTTTGTTACCAGTTGGTTTCTGTTACCAGTTGGTCTCTGTTACCAGGTGGTCTCTGTTACCAGGTAGTCTTTGTCACCAGGTGGTCTTTGTCACCAGATGGTCTCTGTTACCAGTTGGTCTCTGTTACCAGTTGGTCTCTGTCACCAGTTGGTCTCTGTCACCAGGTGGTCTCTGTCACCAGTTGGTCTCTGTCACCAGTTGGTCTCTGTCACCAGTTGGTCTCTGTTACCAGTTGGTCTCTGTTACCAGTTGGTCTCTGTTACCAGTTGGTCTCTGTTACCAGTTGGTCTCTGTTACCAGTTGGTCTCTGTTCCCAGGTGGTCTCTGTTACTAGGTGGTCTCCTTATCCAGGTACAGGTCTACCCTCGATAGTAGACAACACCCGCGGGTTTCAAGAGTTTGTCTTATAACGAGTACTATCTACTATACGGACTTGAATATGCTACGTGTATCAGGCTTCAGTGGATTTTAGATTAGATCGTTGTCGACTGATAAGGTTGGCCTTGTAACCGATGGCGTGCTGACGAGGGTAGACGTGTACGCAACCTGAATGCCAGTTACCCCAGATGAATGGGGTTTCTCTGAAGAAAAAGATCAGCCTAAAACCAAAGAACACGACACATCAACACCCCCCCCCCCCCCCCCCCACACACACACACACACGCACCCACCCACCAACCACCAGCGCTAGAAACAGTTACTTACCCCGGATGATTCGCTCTGCACACCGGAGTCGGCGATACTGTGATTGCAGACGGTGAACTTGACGCACTTGAGCGGGATAGAGCCGGTGAGACGCTGCCGGGTCTCCTCCAGCTCGCGCCGCGTGCGCTCCATTTCGCTGCGCGCCTGCGAGAGCTTCTGCTGCTCTATGTTCACGTGCTCGCTGGCCTTCTCATGCAGAGCAGTCAGGTTCAGAATCTTAGCCTCTTGCTCCTGGATGCGATACGCCTGCAGACATCGGGTGGCCACAACCACACATATCACAACTTGTTTTCTGGGATACTAATGCATTGCATATTTGTTTGTTTGTGTTTAAAATGTGCAAAGTAAAAAAAAAAAAAAAAAAAAAAAAAAAGCAAACACACCATGCAAGCAATAGTGTCCCAGAAAACAAACCGTACAGTACTGTCGGTGGCCGAAGAACTGGGGGGTCAACCTCCTAACCTAGACCAGTCCCATCGTTGTCATGCATTACAGTCAATGCACAGTTGAGTCACCGTCTATACATTGGTATGCTCTGCTGGGTGGAATTCTAGACTGGTCCATCGTCAACAACCCTGCTGTCGGAATTTGACATCTGATACCAGAACATTCCAGATAATTATCTGTTCATATGAAATTTCATGTTTTGTGTGGGTAATGATGCACTCGGGACAATTTTGCCCCATTGTCCTGGAAAACGGATGCGGCATTGACTCAAATGATACAAGTCAGCAATGAGAGGACGACTGTCTTACAGGGGCATCACACACGGTGCGACCAATACGACCATGGTCGTGCCACGTTTCGTCCAGGATGGTCCGCCCAGAGCACCTGTACTCTGTTGAGCGCTAAAATGTGCCCTGTTGGCCGAAAATCCTATCCCCTCCCCACATGCCCCCCCCCGGTGAGTGATACCCTCCCTGGTCGCACCATGACCCCACTGCCCTGTGATCGCAGCCCCTGGTCTTACGTAGGTGAGAGTCTCCTCCTGTCGTTTCTTCTCTTGATCCTGCATGACCAGCAGCTGCTGCACGGCCGTCTGTGTGCTCTCCAGTTGCCGACGGTGATTTGCATGGATGCTCTCAACGGACGTTTGTAGTTCGGAGTTACGGACGGTCAGCTGCAGACAGCAAACACAGCATTATTTTACTTGCGTGCACAGGACTCAAACGGCAGAATAGTTAGATACTGTATAGCAGGAAATTTTCGGACGGAGTATATTTTCGTACAATTTCGTACACGGCCTCTTTTGTACAAAAACATTTTCAGGTGAAATTATGTACACTATACATGCGTACTGCTTGCGAACACGTGCATCTAGCATACAGCACTGTACGAAACTAAAATCCGTACTACGGAAGGGTCGAATTTTGGCTTTGTCCGGAAAAATTCCGTCCGAAAATTTCCTGCTATACAGTACATGATCTGCGTGCACAGGACAGAAATGGCAGAATAATGTAAAACCGGGATTTTTCGGTGGTGTAGAATGTCGGTGTTTCCCACAATCAACAGTTCGGCAGTGCGAAAATTTCGGTAAACCAGTTTTCTAGATCCAAAAATGCATTCTGCACACTGTGTGGCATGGCATTGTTGAATTTTAGGTCACGTTTTAGTTCAGGTAAAAATTACCCCTTCCGAAGTTACCGAAAATGAATCTCCGCCGAAATTTTCCAGTTTAGTCGCAGCACAGTGTGGCAAAGTATGCAGTCATTGTATACACACGTTCCTGAGGACATCACAATCATTGCTTGATACAGCCTACTGCATACTGTTATTTCACAATCGGTGTACTTTTATTTTCTGTACTTTCGGTGTATCTGTTTCATACCTAAAACTTCATTCAATACACCGAACAAACACTAACGCACATAATCCAATAGGGAACTGCTTCTCTGTACCTAAATTTTCTGTTCACCAAACCTGCAGGAAGCTTGACAAGAGAGGAGAGCGAGTCTTACCGCAATATTTCCACTGGGCCATGCGTGTTCTGCATACACCTACAGTCAAACCTGTCTAAGACGACCGCTCACAAAAACCTTCTCTGTTACCAGGTGGTCTCCTTTGCCAGGGTCATTGGACCGTCAGGCGAAATAGCACGTCATAGTACATTTGAGATCAGCGGGAAGAAGATGACGACGTCCACTAATTTAGTATCTGTGCACACGAATCTGCTGTGTGTGTGACTCTGTGTGTCAGCTATGATATCATCTTCTGTGGTTCCATGCCTAGCATGTACGTCTGAACCATCCTGCAAAGTTTGAATGACGTAGGTTGAGCGATCGCTCCGCGAAACATACTTTTTGAAATTCTCTTCATAGTATATCTTCCACCATTGAAATTTCGAATTTCTTCAAAAAAAGTGCTGAGAGGGGTGGCTTGCAACCTCGATATGGCTTGTCCCAGGCATGCTTTGGAGCCATCTTCTATTGAAGTAGTGGCGGGGATCTACCCTGCAACTGCTACAACAAAAAATGATTGGATCTGAGAAAGCGTGAGACCGCGAATCTCGGTTGAATATTGAGTATTTCAAGCCTTTTCACGACGAAGATGGAGTTCTTTTTGGAGATGGACGTCGCGGCAAAGGACATGGTGTCCAACTTCTGGCGTCTGGTGAAGCCAGGGATCATTTGTCCAGTCAGGTCGGCAGCCTAACCGTCGGTAAGCTTGTGTTTGGATCCCGTTCTGCTCGATGTGGTAGATCACAAACAATTTGATATCGCACACATTGATCTCAGCATCGTGCGTACGGTATTTTATATTCAGAAAATCCCAAAGTGTCTCTGTGTGGCCGTCCTATGCCACGAGAAACTCCAATCAGGCTCCTATGTCCTCTGCCTTCATGATTGAATATCCACTTCATTTGAACAACGAACACAACAATCGAGCTAGGACGGCTTTGCAATGAAAAATACAGCTATACTGGAGCTGAAAAAAGAAAGAAAAAAACGTGCTCAGGATGAGACTCGAGTACACGCATACTCTCCCAGCAGGTGAAACGCAAATTTTTGTGAAAAATGCGTGACGCCAACTGACCAGTAATTTCGCCTGACGTGGAATAGCATCCCTTGGCCCTGGTTGCAATAGTCTTCTTGTACAGGTGATTGCCTATTTCCAAGCGGTTGCCTCGACAGGTTTTCCTGTACTCATCCTTCTCACCCACTGTTTGCCCAGGGCTCTCAGCAGAGCTGATACCACCGCGAAACCACCGCACCCCGCCATCACACTCACCCACTGTTTTCCCAGGGCTCTCAGCAGAGTTGATACCACCACCAAACCATCACCAAACCACCACCATACCACCACCAAACCACCACCAAACCACCGCACACCGTCATCACACTCACCTGAGCATTGTTCTCCTGCAGCTTACTGTTGGCCGCCTCCAGGGCCGCGACAGACTCGCGCAGCGCCTCGTTCGCCTCGCGCACCTCGTGGATCTCCTTGGTGAGCCGGAAGTTGGTGTCCAGCGCCTGCCCGCGCTCGTGTCTCGCCGTGTCGCGCTCCTCCCTGTGCTGCTCGAGCATCGTCTCCCAGTTGACCGCCTGGTGGTGCGCCACGGCAGCAGCGGCAGCAGCGGCCGCATCGTTAGCGCACGTGGCCGCTCGACCCGCCGAGCCGACCGGCAGGGAGAACGGCGAGGAGAATCGGCAGCTGCCGTCGGCTTCGACGCCCACACCCGTGTGACCGGACACGATGTCACTGCCTAGCCCGTCGCTGATCGGACAAACTGCACAAGCGAGCACAACAGACAGTAATGCCGAGCAAAACAAAACAAAACATATCAGTAACACTATTCTCATCATCTTGTGAGTGACGACCGGTGAGAAGGCATAGACATAAACACCTGTACATATTTGTACATATCGGTGAAGAAAAACAAATATTTTAATAAAACATAAACACAGCAATGAATAAAACTATAGACGTACTCATCACAATCATAGAAACGAAAATATTGCGCATATAGTTTGATTCATCACATTATTGAGATCATTGTTAAGTAAATACAGCACTTGATCAATCGCACACGTGCACTGGATTTGAGTAAACTCATAATCCCTCTTATCTAGACGTGGACGTTCAGGGTGGGCGCCTGCGTCTACGCGGCACCCTGTGGGTGGGCAGTGTGCACACAGGGTGTGGCCATGCACTACATCATGCAATGTACAGTTCTTGCCAGAGAAGTTACACCTCATGACTACTGCATAAGAACAAAGTTTCTCTTGGAATTTACTTTCGCTATATTCGTTAGGGGGCACGAAAATAACTAAAGTTCGTACCAAACTAAAGTTTTTTTCTCTGAACGTTCGGGGTAACGGACCTCGACCAAAAATGAAATTTAGTACGCAACGAACCTGCTGGTGGAGTGATCTAACGACAGATTTCGTAAACGAAAATTTGTACTTAAATGTATACGTACACAGTACTAGTTGAAGCATTCAGTGCACAGACCGGCGGCAGTACTACTACTAGGCAGTTGTGCCAGCCACAAGTATTGCCACACACAGATGTATTCATGACGTTGGATTCCTCTATGGCGTTGGATTTCTCTATGGCGTTGGATTTCTCTATGGCGTTGGATTTCTCTATGGCGTTGGATTTCTCTATGGCGTGGGATTTCTCTATGGCGTGGGATTTCTCTATGGCGTGGGATTTCTCTATGGCGTGGGATTTCTCTATGGCGTGGGATTTCTCTATGGCGTGGGATTTCTCTATGGCGTGGGATTTCTCTATGGCGTGGGATTTCTCTATGGCGTGGGATTTCTCTATGGCGTGGGATTTCTCTATGGCGTGGGATTTCTCTATGGCGTGGGATTTCTCTATGGCGTGGGATTTCTCTATGGCGTGGGATTTCTCTATGGCGTGGGATTTCTCTATGGCGTTGGATTTCTGATTTCTCTACATCATACATCTGTACATGGCAGGCTGTAGAGTGTAGTACCACCCACATGCATAACTGTCACTGTGTGATGTGTGCCACTTCACAAGACTCAGTTTGTCAAGTAGTACACTGTGTAGGTGGCCTGAGCCTGAGGGTATAATTGGAGTATCACTCAAATGCATGGCACCACCCTCTGGCACAGGTAACTCAGTTTACACTGTTGCTGCAGTGCTAGGATAACCCTGTCAAGTGTTACACAATTGGACTGGTTTCTACTTGATAAGAATTATGTTCACCCATCCACAACTCACAACACTGCTAATAATTTCCTCAGAATGAGGAGGGAAATCAGAATAAATGAATGACTAAACTGTTACTTGAGCTGCCTGGAACTCAGGTCGTCGGGTCAAGTCACAGACCAGTGCGTCACCATCTGTTCTTATCCGCTCTGCGCATTACTCACTGACATCTTTGCTGCTCGTGACCTCAAGTGTTTCACGGCTCTGCTCGCTGCAGAACACGCACACAGCTCTAGATTATCGGAGAGGATAAAAGGGACCCAGCGCGTCACCGCAACGAGTCCGTGAGGAAACGGCATCGACTATTTCTGTTGCAACGTTGAAGGATCGATCTGCGACACTTGCAGAGCGCACGGGCGCCATTCACTGCAGTCATTACTCAGCGCAGAACCTGTTGGAAACATTTGCGTTGGAGAAGCGCGAGTGACGCTCCAGCCGGAGGCGCACGCAGGAAGTGGACTCTGCTGGTCCTGAGCGGAAAATCAAGCGAAGAGGTACTAGGTACAGCCTATCTTGACTCCAGTCCAGGGCCAAAAAACGCGTGTCGAGCGAGCAGCGACACCGTACCGCGCTGTCCTTCTCTACTCCGATGGAAGCGTGGTGTATTTAGTTTTTGCGTGCTTTAGGGCTACGATTTCGTGAAGTGCCCTCCGACTGATCCAGTAAACTATCGCGCAGCTTAGTTTTGGATACAGGAACGGATCACCGATTGCTGCTGCTACTCTTCCGCGGCGTGTGTTCTCAGCTACAGACATCTGAGCTCATGAGGCGACTGTTCAAAAGGTCCACATTGCCTGCATCTGATTCTGATGTCTGACAAATTTGAGTTTGTTTGTCGTCACCAAAACTTACAACTACCCTACATGTGGATGTAGACAAGGCTCAGCGGAGCCTTCGATTGTTCGAGTGCACTACATAATGGTACACGCGCTTCGCTTGAACGCGACAGAGTATTCTTGTAATCAACCTTCACCGCGAGGGGTCGGCGATGGAGATAGCAACCAATTTTTCTTCTTCTTTTTCTCGTGCCGTGAATGATTCGCGGCTCCAGGAGTAGATACAAAGAGATACTCGCACACGCGACGCCGACGTTACAGCACACGCGCACATACAGGGCGAACAGCGGAACACCTCCTTGTGAACTAACTACATTGTAGTAGTAGTAGCTGCGAAGGCCAACATCATGACAACAACAGAGTGAACAGCAGCGAACAGTCAGGCCCAGTCTCGCGCAGTCCATGTGTTCGTGCTGCGGGCCAGCAGTGGACAGTACATGTAGTAGTTCAGATTGCGCTGAACTGAGCCTGAAGCGAAGATAAATACGCTGCAAGCGCATGACACCATATTCTTTCGCCGTCTTATCATGGCCATATCGGAGACGAGCATCAGCAGCGCAGTGAACTACTCTCACCGCCGCTACATCATCACCGGCTAGGCAACAACGCTGAATTGCCATTGGGCATTTGCAACTGGCTAACACACAGGTTCAATCCACATTGCACACGCACGCACGAAGCCAACGCTGCGACCAAAAATCCAAGCAAACAAAGTCATTTCAATAAACGAAAGGGTCGTCGATTTCGACACTCCTACAGACACCCCTCCGCTGTTCGTCGACACGCGCCATACGCATTATAAGCTACGTGAACTATTATGAATGAGCATAGTACATCCTCTCGACATCGCGATGACATTTCTTTGACTGGCGAGCTGTAGGTCTACTCGGCACAAGATTCCCCAAAACGCTCAACGATACATACATTAGCTCACCGTCAAAATAATTCATTCACAATTCCCATACACATAGTCCTGATAATCCGAAAGCTAAAAGGAGAACAAGAATTCGTCAATCAGCCATTACACAATGCAAATATCGTGTACGATGGTGTACACGCTCCACGCCCCGCGCGCATTCAGGCACGAAAAGGAACGCACTAGCACTACTGTCTGTAGATCTACACGGAATTATTTCCCCCGAAAAAGCATACCAGCAAGATTTCCGCGTGCGTCGATAGGAGGCCTGTGGAGACTGTGGCCCGACCGTCCTCCTGTGAGCAAGAATGAGACAGTACACATAACACAACCATCATGAGCATCGTGGTGGACACAAAAAAGGCCCCACACCATTATCTCGTTTGCAAAATAGACACGCATTCCTAGTCATAATTGAAAACAATTTTACGAGTAGACCTACTCGGTAGCTAGCGACCACAACTCGCTAGCGCCATGCGTATCAGCTACAATACAAATTACAATGCATGCACACGTACAAGAGAGGACGCGAAGAGCACAGCATTATCAGACAAACCTTCATCAGCAGTATACTACTACTAGTAGACAGGTATAATTGCTCTCTAGAAAGGGGAGGATTCGAGGTTCCTGCGTCACGAAATTGCCACTCAATCAAATCTACACGTTACACTCACACAGTACTGCCCCAACGAACTACGTATTCGCTGCCCTGTCATTGAGCATTTGTGCTCGTTTGGATGCGCGAATTCAAATAAAATATACAAACAAACAAACACAAACTTGGGGAAGATTCCTTTCAAAATAATTATTACTATTATGATACAGCGACTCGCAGTGACCAACATCCTAGAAACACGGACGCAAACCCAAACGACATGGACACAAGAGCACACCCTGACATAATACTGTAGAACGTGTTCAAAGCTCTGAACTCGCCATCACGACAGCATCGCGGGAGGCGTCTATCACAAAATTGATACTATTTCTGGTAGATCTACATGGCTGTTCAATCATGCACATTATCAACAATAATGCCAAAAAATATGGGTGTGAAATATTACAATACCAACATCGGTCCAAGGAATCACGGAAACATTTCAATGACGCCCGAATCAAACCAGGCATCACAGCTCACACATAATCATTATCACCCAGGACTACGGCTTACCAGTGGAGCCCGAGTATACGACGTCCACGGCGAAGTACCCAATCTCTTGCTCGATAGTCCCGTGGAACGTTTTGAACATCGACGGCGCAAAGCGCTGCACTGCTTTCCAGAGCGCCTGCCAAAGGCTACACACATCTTCCCTCGCCAGGATGATGGAAACAAGCGCCTCGGCGCGATGGCGACTCTGGCCAGCTCCCACTATCGTCTCGCTCTCGAAAGGCGAAAGGTCGCCATGGGTTTTCAGAAACTCCAGGAATCGCAAAGGAGCACCGTGATGCCAGGCAGCGGCCAGCTCCGTTATGAGTTCCTCTCGGTGGCGAGCTAGGAAATCTCTTTTCAGGCTCGATTCGGACGTGGCGGGACCTGCGACCCTGATCGCGGTCGGGCCCACTAGGGCGCTGAGACTCGAATCTCTTCCGCTCATGCTCCCGAACTGCGACGACACGATGCTCAGGATTGAAGACAGACAAACTCAAACGCTAGCGACGACGCAGCGCAGATTCCTTTCAACTTTCAGGCAGAGGGCAACAGCAAGAAACAAACTGTATGCCAGAACACTTTACACTAGTACTAGCTAGCAGCAAGAATCAGCTTCACGCAAAGGCCATCATCACCAGCAGCAGCCACAGCCTCCACTATGCTACCAGTCCACCACGAAAGAGACGTTGTGCGGGACGCAGATCCACATAGCGCCCACTCCTAACCACTCTTCGTGTTCACTCTCTCGCCGTCTCGGTCAGCAACAGCACAGCGCATATGCGTCGACTGATTCCGTTCTTGAACCTTGGTTTGAACTGCATGTGCATTG